TCTTCTTCTTCTTCTTCTTCTTCTTCTTCTTCTTCTTCTTCTTCTTCTTCTTCTTCTTCTTCTTCTTCTTCTTCTTCTCTCAATAAATGCACATTTTTTAAAACAAAGTCATGGGCTACCATCCTAATACTTTGTAATTTCTCTGCCTAGAAGCATTCTTGAAAATATGGTTAAAACTAGTGCTTTTCTTTAGAAAACTAACTAAAAATACAGAACAAAACTAGTGCTTCTTTTTCTTTTCTTTTTTCTTTAACTGAAAAAAATCACAAGATACAAAGACCTGCAAATAGAAATAGAACAACTGTGGCAAAAGAAAGCAAAAATAGTAGCAGTAGTAATAGGCACCTTAGGTGCAATCTCAAAACATCTGGAGCACCACTTGAAGACCATCAGCACTGACAAAATCACCATCCATCAATTGCAAAAGGCAGCTTTACTTGGAACAGCTTACATCCTGCGACAATATCTTTAATATTATTAAGCAACAACATCTGCCTATCCCAGGTCCTTGGGAAGGATCCAGTAGGTGGACAAATATGCCAAATCCAATCTAAACATCTGACTGTGCGACCAACTATAATAATAATAAAAATACCAACAAGGACAATTGAGTAAGGGAGCATGGTAGATGCTAATAGAGATCTCCTTAGATATACTCTGGATCCTGAATCCCATATATAGGAATAGTTCTTCCTAACATTGGCAAAATATAAATTAAAATCCAGAATATTTTCAGATTAGTGAATTGTCAGTTCTATTTCCAGGACTAAGTCATTTGTTAAATTTTGACAAGGAAAAATTCAGAAGATTACTTAGTGATATTTTTAGTTTTAACTTATATTTGAATTACCTACATGTGTGTAATTCCAAAACTGGACAGCTGTTAAGTGAACATGGAATAGTTTGCCAATTTTATACTACATTTAGAGGCAAAATGTGCTAAATGATTAATTGTATGTGCAGTATACTAATGATTTTTTATATCACTTTTGATATACTATACATGTCTCCAAACATCTCAAAAAATGTTGTGATCTTACTAAAAAAAATCATAATGATATAAACAAGTTAAATCATAATCTTAATGAATTAAAAAAAACCCAAATATATCAAATAAGTATATTTATCATGATGGTTTCCAAAACAAATATACCTGGCATGATGATATTTTTAGGACATTTATTCAGTATAGCAATAAAACAATAATTATAAAAAAGGACAAATAAACTATAGATTTCAACATAACTGTAAATTAGTGTTTTTCAATAGTTAATACAACAGAGACGTCTTTTGGAGTTTTTTTTTTTTTTTTCTTTCTCTCTGGCAAAATGCTTTTTCTAAACATTCCCTGAAGAAAGAATATGATCCAAGTCTTTTTTTTCTGGATTTTAATTGAAGTCAGTTTAAATCATATCAATGTCAGTTTAAATTAGAAATGACAGTGAAGATATCGAAGTGGTGGATAGCTTCTGCCTTTTCGGATCAACCATCAACAGTAAAGGAACAAGCAGTCAAGAAATATGCTGCAGACTAGCACTCGGTAGAGCCATGAAGGCCTTGGAAAATATATTCAGATGTTGTGATGTGTCTATACCTACAAAGATCAGAATCATGCAAGCCACAGTATTCCCTGTGATGTATTCCCCGTGACACTCAGTGAAGCAAAAGTTGGAGTTTGAATAAGCAAGATAGGAAAAATATTGATGCTTTTGAACGTCGGTGTTAGGGAAGACTCCTGAGAATACCATGGACAGCCAAGAATACCAATGAATCATCAAATAAATCACCCCAGAATTCTTGCTCGAGGCACAAATGACCAGGCTCAAATTATCCTACTTTGGATACATTATGCAAATACATAGCTCCCTAGGAAAGGTTCTAATTCTGGGAAAGGTAGAAAGAAAAAGAAGTAAAGGATGACCAGCAGCAAGGTGGATAGAATCAACTACAGTGGTGATGAGGGCACTGTTGAAAAAGCTGAAAGACCAGATTAGGGACAGATGTCACATTTTCTTTCAGGAAAGAAGGAAAGAAGGAAAGAAGGAAAGAAGGAAAGAAG